GGTCCTCTTTAAATGGAACATTTCCCTTCATTCACAGGTAGCCAGAAAGCAGATTGCTTGATCTTACTGGTCCTGTGCTGAAATGTCACAATCCTGAAGCTACTTGAAGGCTCAGGCTTCCATTCCTATGTGAAAAGAAAAACCAGGTGAGCTGGCAAGAGCCTTCCAGTTTGCCCTCCACAAAGTACCTCTAACCTGACCTCCACAGGGGAAGGTCTCTTCCTGCACTTAGCAAGGTGATAATATAATTCCTTGAAGTTATGTTTGAGGGAGACCTGAAAGGTCGGGGGGTGGGGGAGATTTTGTCTCCTTATACTCTGTGAACAGGCTTCGAGTAAGACTACCTTAAGCTACAACTTGGACTTCATGCCAACTCAGGTTATCTGTGTATGCCAACAGGTCACTTTTTGCTGTCATTAAATAGTCAATGACCATTGACCCCAAGCATCTCCTGAGTGTTTCATCGCTGTGTTGGGAATTGTGTACTGCCTGTGCAGGAGCCTGATGCTAGTGATGGTCACTGGAAGGCGTTGGGGAGTTGGTGCAACTCCATGATCATAAGTCACTATTGGTACCCCCTTCCCAGTATCCTGCATTTAATTATACTTTAGTAAGACAGTGTTTGGTGCCAGAAGCCCTCTCACATGCTGGGGTAACATAATGGAAACTCTGAATCATGTTGCCTTTTTGTGGAGATTTTTATACTCATGACATCCACAGTTTGCTTGCAAAAGTGCTTCTCCCATGGGAATAGGCGAGTAACAGAGAACATACCATTTCCATGTTGTTCAAGGTCTGTGCTCCAGTTGCTGGAGAAATCTATAGCTCAGACCTAAGTGCACTGTACATTCTAGAAAATAAAAAGGAAGCCACTGGATCCAGCAGCATGGTGGGAATTTTGGAGATTTTAAAAGATTATAGAGAGAAAGTCCAGAGCTTCTGGAGTTGGTCTGCTTCTGTGTCTGTTTGGGACAAGGAACGTGTTGTTTACTAGACAGACATCATGAGGGTCAGATAGAGCTAAAACTTGACGCATTCAGCTGGATGCAGATTAAAATAATTACTTGAACAGTCCCATAGAGACAAAATATTACTGGAGCCTGTAAGCTTTTTTCCCTCAAGGGTGAGGGGAAAGGAAGTTTTAGTAAATAGGCTATTGTGTTGGATCCCCTGCCCAGTTTCCTGATCTTAGCTTAAGGTTTGTGTGCATAGAGGGCAGTGGAACTCATGACCCTTGCGCCAGATGACATTCTGATTTACAAGGACAAGTTTAAGCTTCACTTAATTGTTGGCATTTGCACACAGAGGGAGTAATGGCAGAAGCTTTCTCTTTCTCTCTGACTCTAGCTGTTTGTTAGTTATTCAGTAGAATATTTTTTAGGTGGAAATGCTTTTATGAGGTGCCACATGCACTTTGCCTGGTCAACAAAGATCCTTAATATCACTGTTGATAGAACATTTTAGTGTGTTTGTTGTTTTTGTTCCTCTTCCCCAATAAGTGCTTTATTTTAACAAACTGAAGTGCTTTCCATTCTGCGAAGGTAGTTTGCATGATGAGGTACTATTTTTACCTTGCAAACATCTATGGAGGAGGGGGAAATGACTGGAGATGTTGCCACCAGCTTAAAGGAGGTTTTTCAGAACAGTTGTTCAATTTGCTGTTTGTAAACATGACAATTTGGATTAATCTGATCCAGTATTATAAATAGATTTTTTAATGTAATCTTTCTCCAAGAGATTTTGGGGCAGACTGGCTCATTCCAAGGATCATCAGCTGCTCCTGACGGCAGGATATAAATGGTGATATGTAGGTAAGGGGAAGAGCTATAGAACTGTCAGGAGATGGTCATGGAGGAATAGGCTTTTAAAGCAAAAATATGCCTCCTAACTTTGATTTTCCAGTTGATGCTGTAGAGTCAGTTTTAAGATTACTTCCCATTTTAAGATTTTCAGTATCACAAGCTACACCACAAATCTTGTTTCTGGGGGCATGGGGGAATTGAACATATAGCTTGGGTTGGAGAAAGGCCCACATCTGAGAATCTGTGAGTGGATTGTCAAAATCCATATCATTCTTAAACAGAGGGCTGTTTTCATTCTCCTCTTGGGCACAGGGTAACTTAAATATACATAGGAAGTGGTCATTGGGGTGTCTAAGGAGTGCCTGGTTGAGGGATTTCAAATAAAAATCAGTTAAGAGTTATTCTAGGAAAGAACCTGCTTCTCTCCCCCCCCCTCCAATTCCTAAGCATGCAGGGTCAAGATTTTGACTCCCTATCAGGCAGGAGTTGGAGACAGATAAGCAGCACTGAACTGTTGCCTGATCATAATATATCTTACTATAATTGTGCATATTGCATTTCACTCATCTCCATTTGGATTCCTACCCTTTCTTATGATGCATTGATAATGTTTTTCAGGCAGCTGATCTCCTGGGCTTGTAGGACATCTCTGATCGTGAAAGTCCCAAGCCTAGGTTGAGTGAAACTGATTTCCTTACTGGTCATTTTTTCATCAACATCAGAGTTATCACTAGCTTTTTGAGGAAATTTTGTTCGTAACTGTCCCTTGCCTTGTGTCTTCAATGACTTGCAGCAGTTCTTTTTCTTATTGGTTGGGGTTTTTTAATCACAAGTATAGGCAAAGGGTGAAAAGCACAGATGGCTTGGCTTTGCAAAATGATTTTCTTTCCCTTCTTGGGGAAGTAGAATGGGTATTGGTGAGTTGTTCTGGGTTGATTCCCCCCCCCCCCCAAGATTTTGTACATTTCCCCCCCAAGATTTGGTACATTTAGCTGTTTGGGTTTTTTTTTAAAGGGGGAGGGGGTGTCTCCCAGGATGGCTGGTTGAGGGAAATGTTCTGAAATCTACTGTCTGGCAGTTTTAACCAGCAGTGTGTTAAAAGAAATAAACAGAATTATATTGTCAATCAAACTGACTGGTGCTTTCTTTAAAAGTGTGTGCATGACTTTTTCTCTTTCAAAGAAGATTTTAATAGCTTGCAGCTGCATGAAGCTAAAGGCTCAAACTGCACTGCAGTGACTATTGCAGGTTGCCAGAGACTTTTTAAAGCCCCATCACCGCAGTAAGATTTCCTGCATCATCCAAACAACTGTGCTATTGTCTCTGCTAAAAACTAGTTTTGTTGTTGTTGCTGTCTATTTGTACTAATGAAGTTTCTAAAAATACTATTTCATACCACTGTTCCAACGGGGTTCTGTTTGGGAGTTTCTCATCTCTTTATCATGAGATTCCCATATTCATGGGACTGCTTGTGACGTTTGGGTGGGAGGGTCATTTAATACACTATAGAAGGCTGGACTTATACCGCCTCAGCCATATGAGAAATGTTGGGTGATGCTTTCTTCAATCACCTGGCCAAATTTAATCCATAAATTATTTTCTGTGCCAGCCTTCTTATGGAGCAAGGAGCACTGGACAATTCAAAGAGGCTTATTTCCACCTCCTTATACTTTCCCTGAAATCTTGTGCAGCATGAATATTGTGTTATATTGGTCCATCTATGAGCATCGTATATTTTCTTGTAGAAGGTATTTCTTCTTCTATCCTGGGCCCATTTCAGTACGGCTTCTGCCCTGGCCATGGGATGGAGACTGTGTTGGTAGCGCTAACAGATGACCTCCAGAGACACCTGGATTAAGGTGGGTCAGCGCTTCTGTTGCTACTCAGTCTGACAGTGGCATTCAACACAGTCGACCACGATCTGTTGACCCACCGCCAAACGAACGCCGGGATTTGGGAAACTGCCTTACAGTGGCTGTCCTCCTTTCTCCATGGTCGAGGACAGTAGATGGCGCTTGGGGAGAAGGTTTCACCACATTACCCTTATAGTATGTGGTGTATCGCAAGGGGTAATCCTCTCCCCATGTTATTTACCATCTGTATGCACCCCCTCACCCAGTTAATCCAGGGGTTTGGGCTGGGTTGTCATCTGTATGCTGATGACACCCAGCTGGATCTGTTTATGGATGGACAGATGGACTCCACCCAGGAAAATATGGCCAAGGATTTGGAGGCTGTGACTGACTGGCTAAAACAGAGCCAGCTGAAACTCAGTCCAGCCAAGACAGAGGTCCTGTTCCTGAGCTTTGGGGGGATGGGGTTGGGAATCCAATTCCCAGCCCTTGGTCAGGAATCTGGGACTGATGGGGTCTGAACTGGCAGAGACTGAGCAAGAGAGAGATCTTGGAGTTGTAGTGGATAACTCACTGAAAATGTCGAGACAGTGTGTGACTGCAATAAAGAAGGCCAATGCTATGCTGGGGATTATTAGGAAGGGTATTGAAAACAGATCAGCCAATATAATAATGCCCCTATATAAATCAATGGTGAGACCTCATTTGGAATACTGTGTGCAGTTCTGGGCACCACACCTTAAAAAGGATATTATAGCTTTGGAAAAAGTGCAGAAAAGGGCAACTCGAATGATAAAAGGGTTGGAACACTTTCCCTATGAGGAAAGGTTAAAGTGCTTAGGGCTCTTTAGCTTGGAGAAAAGACGACTAAGGGGTGACATGATCGAGGTTTATAAGATTATGCATGGGAAAGAACAGGTAAAGAAAGAGGTACTTTTCTCCCTTTCTCACAATACAAGAACTCGTGGGCACTCCATGAAACTGCAGAGCGTTCGGGTTAGAACGGATAAAAGGAAGTACTTCTTCACCCAAAGAGTGATTAACACATGGAATTCACTGCCACAGGAAGTGGTGGGTGCTACAAGCATGGACGGCTTCAAAAGGGAATTAGATAAGCATATGGAGCAGAGGTCCATCAGTGGCTATTAGCCACAAGGTATAGCTAGGGGCTCTGGGGCAAGTGATGCTCTGTCTTCTTGGTGCTTGGGGGGGGTCAACAGTGGGAGGGCTTCTAATGTCCTGGCCCCACTGGTGGACCTCCTGATGGCACTGTTATTTCTGGCCACTGTGTGACACAGAGTGTTGGACTGGATGGGCCTTTGGCCTGATCCAACATTGGCGTCTCTTATGTTCTTAAGGTCCAGTTCACCAATATTGCCAGGTCAGCCTTTTATCATCTGAGGCTGGTTAGGCAACTAGTTCCCTACCTTTCCTCCCATGACTTGGCAGTAGTGATCCATGCAATGGTCACTTCCAGGATTGGTTACTGTAACTCACTCTATGTGGGCCTACCCATGAACTTGATCCAGAAACTCCAACTGGTACAAAACACAGCGGCGTGCCTGCTGTCTGGGATGCCTGTGCAGGTGCACATACAGCCAGTGCTATGCCAGCTGCATTGGTCAGGGACCAGCATACCTGCAGGATCTTCTCTCCCCATATATGCCTTGCAGAGCCTTGCACTCTGTTGACCAGCACCGGCAGTAGTTCCTGACCCAAGTGATGTCCATCTGGCCTCAACTAGGGCCAAGGCTTTTTTGGCCCTGGCCTCAACCTGGTGGAACATACTCCCAATTGAGATCAGGGCCCTGAGGGATTTGTTACAATTCCGCAGGGCCTGTAAAATGGAGTTGTTCCACCAAGCCTTTGGTTGAGGCAGCAGATGCTCAATAACATCAGCCTCCCCTCCATTGGTAGCCCATAGCGCTGGTATATCAACTGGTGCTGCAAGCAGCTGACCTGATCCATCACCTCTTCTAGCATGGGGTCAGCATACTCTAGTAAAGTAATCAATCACTGTGCTGTCGTTAGGAAATTTAGATTATTGTGTGGATTACTTAGTTTTTACTTAATATTTTACCTACTTAATGATTACTTAATGTTTTAAACTGCTGCTGTATTGTGATCTGATGTGAATTGCCCTGAGCCTGCTTGTGGAGTAAGGTGGGATATAAGCCACAAAAAATAAAAAGATGTTCCTTCTCTAGCACAGGTTCAGTGTGGTGCTTTTGGCACCCTCTACTACTGAACTGTAGCTTACTTGCTTTCACAGGAGAAGCTCCTGCGGGTGGTGGCCTGACCTAAAGTCGGTTTTGTTACCACTACCATTAAAAGTATATATATCCTTGGGAATGGTAGAAAGATGGCCATAGCTATAAGGCCATTTTGCATGTTACGTTTAAAAGCAGCCTGAATCTGCAAAATGAGCGACTTGTGTATTCATGTGATTTTTCTGAATATGTTATAGGGAAGCTACTACAAAAATCTTTTGCAGGACTCTGCAGTAGAGGAGTTCCCAACCATAAGGCAGGGCCTGGAGATGTCCCTGAATTACAGTATCTGAGATCCATTCCCTTGGAGAGATGGCTGCTTTGAACGGAATCTATGACGGCATCCCCTCGCTGAGGTCTGTCCCCAAATCGCCATCAACCCCAGGCTCCATGACCTCCAGGAGTTGGCAACTGTAGGCCTGGTAATGTGGTGGGGTGTAACTTTTTAGCAGGAGCCATTCATCTTCCTGCGCCCTCCCAGCTGCTGTTATGTAGAGTATAGCGCCTGAATGTGACGCTAGCCTTTATTTTGTTGTGTCATTATCAAAGCAAAAATGAGGCAGATTCCGGCTGGCCCGTAGTCAACATGGGGCCCCACGGGCCCGGGCCCCTAGTCTTTCTTCTGGGCCCCCTCCCTCCCAGGCTGCCCACAAAGTGCTCCAACTTACCACCTGCACTGTACTTCCATTTAATTAGCTGGCCGGCCCCCCGAGGCCCCTTCCCAAAGAATTCCCTAGCTAGGGGCTGGATTCCGGACTCGTCCGAGTGGTTTCTTTGGCCCAGCTGAAGCTGCGTTTGTGGTTAGGGGGAGCGCCTGACAGAGGGAAGCGGAATGAAAAGTCCCCAGGGAAAGTCCACAGAGCGGCTTCGCTGGACGCTTATAGAGCTGACTAGCCGGCATGACCGGCCCACATCAGGCTGGCTGGGCTCTCCCAGCCACTCAGAGGTCGGTCCCTCCCGCCCGCCCGGGCGGGCCTAGTCGAGGCGCTTTCTCCGTTGCCTGGCAACGATCCCTCCCGCGCTCGTCATGGCGGCTGAGCCTAGCCCCGCCCCTCGGCTAGCTGGCTCCCATAGCTACCAAAGGAGGCAGCTTGTGGAAGGTAGTGGCGGCGGCGGCGGCGGCCATCTTGGCGGCGCCGGGGCCGGCGATGAGCGGCTCGAAGCCCAGGGTGGCGGCGCCGGCGCCGGGAACCTCAGGGCCGCTGAGCCGGCTGCGCGGGCGGAGCGGCTCCGGGGACGCTGCTGTGGCGCCGCCGCCGCCGCGAACGGTCCTGCCCCGGACGGAGGCGGAGCTGCTGGCGCTGGAAGTGATCCGGCCCGATCATGTACTGGGGCTGAGCCGCGTCACAGAGAGTGAGTAGCGTCTGCAAGGACTGAAGCGGGTCCCTCTCTGAGAGGGGGGGGGGGCTGTTTTCGTTTTGCGCCCCGCCTGCCTTGCCTCAGTTTCCCCCCTCAGGGCCGAGGGAAGGGGGCTCATGTATATCCTTCGCAATTCGCACCCTAACTAGCTGTGCTTTGAATGGTCCCTCCTCGGATCCTTTCTTTGCTACGCGCACATAATGGGATCCTCAGTACTCGCACCTGTTTTGTTCTAGGTGGTTCTCCTCATGTCCTCCCTTCCTCCCACCGCCGGCCAGACCCAGGACACTGAGGGACTCAACATCCCTTTCTGCTCTCTGCATAATAAGCCCAACTCCGGACCCGGGCGCCCGTTTTCCAGCGAGCCCCCCCCCGCCCCCTTTCTCCTTTTTGGGGCGCCCTCAGCAACC